CCTTTGCTTTGGCCTTCCCGCGGCGGCGCGCATCTTGTTCCTCTTTGGCCTTGCGGGCCTCCTTGAGGATCGCGGCCTCGTTCTTGAGCTCCCCAGCCACATAGGCAGAGAGGTCACTGTCGACCCCAGCTGCTGCCTTCTTGTACTTCCACCCCATGTAATGGTCAGCACTGCTGTAATCCGGATTGCTGGGCGATGCTCGATGGGCCTGACGAATCACTTGAAGTCGCCTAAAGATGAGCTCAGCAGACTGCAAGGCAGGCACATTCAACTGGTCTACCATAATCATCGCATCCATGATGCGCGACAGGCACTCATGTTCATATGTGGGCCTGTCTCCGCGAGGAATCTCCGATGTTCTCATCCAGTGCTCATGGAAGGTGCTAGGCGTGAACTGCTGATCTCGCATATCCTTCAGGAGCTTCAAAGCTGAGCTTGGGCCTGACAACTGAAGCCCACCACCTTGTGGAGGATCATCGTCCATCAGACTCACAGCAGTTGAAAACTCTTTGCGCCTCACACCCTGAGCATCGAATGAGATGGGCAAGAGTCTGATGTCAATCAATCGATGCTTGGATACCTCTGCCGCTGCCACCTTGCGCACGAAAAGCACATTCCCACCTTCGGGAATCATCCCTTTGTCACCCATCAGTACGTGGCCTATCGGCAACGGATTTGGATCCACTGCAACCACATCACCGCGCTTGTACATGACGCCATCCTCGACTGCTATCCACGTGTCCTTGTCAGACCCTGCAGGTGCAGCCGCCACAGGAGCAACAGCTTCGGGATCCAAAGGTCCAGGAGGGGCCTGCACTCCTGCACCCATCAAACCTGCTGCTCCAAGAATCCTCGCGGCTTCGGCTTGGCCCTGGTTGAAGTAGTTCCGCAGTTCTTGGGGAGTCATTGGGGCGAAGCTGTAGACGTTGCGGGGGTTGATGCGTGGCGGAATGACCCCATCTGCGCCGCACATGTGGAATCCGACAAAGTCCTGGTTGTTGAGGCTCATCTCTTCCTCATACAAGTCGTGATCGGGCGTGAGTACGATCCAGCTGGACCCCTGTGTAGGAGCTAGAAGAACCCGCATATGCCATACAGTAGGCCTCTCGCCATAGTTCACTAGGGCGATGTCCCCCGGGTTCATTGTCACAATGTCAGCTGAAGGTTCCTGGTAGGAGCGCCGTAGACTCCCTTGCCTTTGCGGGGCAAGCTGGGCTCAGATGACACTGGCTTTTGAAATAACCAGAATCCCAAGCAAAGCAAGGTGATCAGAAGAAGCCCCCCTCCCAGAAGGGCGAAATTGTACTGAGATCCTTCTGGCGCGCACTTACAGACACACGTGCAAGGCGAGCCAACGGCCTCTACCTTCTTCTCGCCCCCCAGGAAGTCTTTTCCGAGCCAGCCGACAGCAACAGCTGCGGCCAGAGGAACCCAGCTCACATCCATGGCCGACCCTATCTAACCTTGAAGGCTTGAGCCATGTCAACCCAACCTCACCTGCCTGAGCCCGGCCTGCATCCCGGATTGAAGCCTGAGCCCCCACACTACCTGCGACCTTCCACTCAACCCTGAACCAACCCTGAACCTTTGTCTTCTAGTCCAGGTCGGCGTGTGCTCGCCTTCTCCTGTGACTCTGGTAGCCAGCTTCACTTCCTGCGCTCAGTTGGTCTTCCGGTCGAAGTGGGTGCACCCCGCGGCCGTGGTGTTCGTGCTGCGGCGGGTGCACCGCAGCCGGCGGGTGCCAAGGAACGGTGTCGGCTTCTCCCGTGTCTGCGCGGACCTGTAGGCCTCCAGGTGCCTCGCGCGGGTGCCCCCCTTGTAAAAGTGTGGCAGACAAAAACATGCGATCATTCACGGTCTCCCCCAGGCTTGTGCGTGGGGGTGACACGCCTCCGAGTGGTAACGAAATGCACGCAGTCCGTTTCGCCGCTGCCTCGACAAAGCCCACCCTGCCTAATTTAAGACTCTGGGTTCGCCCCGGTGGTGGGCCGGCTACGCAAACCGGGTCGGCTTTCCCCTCAGCGGTGGCCGAGGTTCCAGCTTTCCCGGCTTGGAGGCGCGCCCGTGCACGGCACCACACCAGGGTTCCAGTCTCCCCCCTACCCCAAGTGTAACTAACATGTAAGCTTTGGTTGGTGAGTCGTTGATCTCTCTTCAAGTCGGCTTTGTGTAAGAAGCTGCGCGAAAAGGTGATAGCACTCCTTTGCCATGGCGGTTCGGAGGGGAGCGCACAGATTTTGTGCACCGAAGATCTGCTGTGTGACCGTCTCGAACCAGAGTTTCACGTCGTGTGGCTCAAGCCGGCGGTGGGTTCCGACTTGAGCCAAAATGGCTACTCTCTCTCTCTCTCTCTCTCTATCTCTCTATCTCTCTATCTCTTTTCTCTCGCTTGCTTGCTTGTGTGCAAAGCGTGTGGAGGCATGTGAAGCACGCTCCCCTTTCTGCGCCGTAGCGCTACGTCCGAGTCAGGTTAGTCGGTGTGAGACCCTTCATGAACCCCGACCCTTTCGCAGCCTACTCCCAACTCCCAAGTCCTTAACGTTCCTTAGTGTACCAAGCCCGCAGCTGCGAAGGTGCCGGTTTACACGAGCTGTAAGTGTGCTAATCCCCGCGATAGCGGGCGCATGATCGAGGCCCAGGCCCTTATGCCAAACAATGGCGACTACACTCCTCACCATCTCAGAAAGAACACCTTGAACTGTTGTCCGGAGTCCAGCATGCCTCTGGCACTGCTATGGCTCCGCACTCTCTGCAGCGTTGGCCCCGTAGGTTGGGGAAGCAGGGAAGCAGGGTAAAAACCACGATAAGGGGAAAAGTTCTGTGGGCTCTCTCTCGCTCTGTCTCTCCCGGGCATGAGGGTCGGTTCACATCGGAGAACGCACGCGTGAGCACCCACGCGAGTTCACGCAGCCGTGTTCTTTGTCCTCCAAGGGTTTCATGTGGTGGGGAGTTGCTTCACTTCACTTTACTCACGGGGTCCAGAGGGCGGGCGAAGCCCTCCGCATCGAGAGGTGCGCCCTCCATCTCTCTCTCTCTCTCTCCCTCTTTCTCTCTCTCTCTCTCTCTCTCTCTCTCTTCTATTCTATTCT